CCCCAAAACCCCAAAACCCCAAAACCCCAAAACCCCAATTTTGATACTTAATATCGAACGAAAATCTATATTATAACATAAATAAAATGGCTACCACCAGATTGACAAACTCAAGAAACCCATTTTCTGTTTGTAAAATAATTATTCTGCTCGCACTACTGTGCCTCACTCTCTGTCAGAAAACCTCTACCGATGAAGTCATGGAGGAAATGGAAAAGGAAACTATTTCTCGAGAAAAGGAATGAAGATTTGAGATGGATGATGGGCAATTTTTATCACTATACCATCTAAGGAAAAAGAGAGCCCCAGATTATATTTTCAAAGACTCTAGAGAGACTGGCCTTTACAGCTATTTCTTCAACTTCTGATCTCCCACTATCATGACTTGAAATGGAGAAGAAGACGCACTCGCCATCCAAAAAGTTGATGGAGATTGTGTTGCAGTCCTTGCCAGAGGGAGCTACTCGGCCATCAGCTACTTAGACCCTAATAAGCCCAACAGAGGAGTCAAGTTGATATATGATGGAGGAGACCCATGCGAGCTCGGAAACAGAAGAGTCGAACACATTTTGAAGTGAGACAACAACATCCACCACGAGATCGAAAGCGTAGAAGAAACAGAAGCATGCACCTACACAGTTACATCTCGGACCAAGTACACCTGCAAACTGGCCGAAACCAGACAGGACTTGTCGTCATGGGAGGACGGATGGGCTTCACCAGAAAGCGTGACCGAAAGAAGAGGATGGTCTCTCTGGAACAGCGGAATCGTCAAACTCATATTCTTCGCTGCTCTTGTGTTTGTGATTGTGAACATTTATCTGTTTTACAAAAACCAAGGAAGAGACCCATTCAGAAACTACTCAAGCGTGCAACCGATCAAAGAGAAGTTCAGAAGTTTCTTCAGGTTTTTGAGAGGAAGCTCAGGCAGCGGATCAAACTAACTAAACAGTAATATTTTGATAAGAATTCGGAAGACAAACCAAGACAATTGCATATTCCACGGTTCAATAATATAAGCGAGGTCTGGGGTTTTGGGGTTTTGGGGTTTTGGGGTTTTGGGG